AGCATGCCAATGCCTGAAGACCATGACCAGCTATTGGTTGGAACATTATCACCAACGCATGGTCTCCAAGATTGTTCTCCATTTTCTTAGGAGTGTATTCTCCCAGATCGACAAATCCAACAAATTTCATGGAGTTTTTATCGAATTTTTTTGTTTTTGAAATCTTGCATTCATCAACGAGAAGACATCCATGTTTTTCCCATTCCTTCATATGTTTAGTTTTTTCCTTCAGTATAGAAAAAACCTCTTTTTGAAACCCGAAAGTTCTGTCAATGTTTCTAATGTACCTAAAAGAATCACGTCATTTAATATTATAACTTGCGGAAAAGGTCTACTTTTTGGCACTCATTTTAGTGTGTAAAGATGATCTTTTCAAAAGTACATTTCGGGAACACTTGTTCCGCACTGTGTGGAATGTACCTAACTTTGTTAAAAATATCTGTAGTACTTGTCAATGTGTTTATTTTATCATTATGGTTTGAAGTATTTCAAAATATGATGTGGATTCATAACAGTTCACTTTTTTTTTTCATTAATGTTGTTAAACAGTAGCTAAATATTCTAGCATATTGATGTATTTCCTTATATTTCTTTTAGACTTGCAACAGACTGAATTTTCCCAGTATACTATTGTTAACAGAACATTGGTGTAATAGTAATGAGCCTATATACATACCTTGCTAGTCTGTGGTATGCAGAAACTCAAGAGCAGACTCAAACCACGGGGGAACAGTTATTCTGGTGGCTGACACTGTAATTACCGATTACTCTTTCTCTCAAATCGAAAAGTTCAATGATCTTTTGGATGATAAAACATTTGAATTCACAATCTGCTTTAGCAAAAAATATAATTTATATGTTGTTTGTCTTTACCGATCTCCCTCTACGGATGTTAATATATTTTTGAGAAAACTAGAGCTACTCTTGTCTAACCTGCCGATAAATAGTTCTATAATCGTAACAGGTGATTTCAATATCAATTACAATGACTGTGATTCTCTGGTTTATGAGTCACTGAAGAACTTACTTTTATCATTTGACTTGAGTATGCACTTTGATACGGATACTCGCATCTCTCGATTTTCTGCATCCTGCATCGACTATTTCTGTAGCAATATTGACAAGCAAAATGTTTCATGCACAGTTATTTCATCCGGATTATCTGATCATGAAGCAGTGATATGTTCTATTCTGTTAAAATCAACAAAAAAACAAACCATACATAAGTATGGTAGATTGTTCAGTCGTTCAAACTATGATAGGTTCTATCAAAACTGCCTTGAAATAGACTGGGTGAGCATACTTTCTGAATGTGACCCCTTTTTATCATTCCACAGTGCATTGTCTGATGTGTTCAATAAGTCGTTTCCAGAACAAATAATTAAAAATAAATGTAAAAAGCCATGGGTAACAAATAAAGGACTGAAAACATCCTCTAGAAATCTGCGCTCACTGCATTATATCAGAAAATTCACAAATGAAACATTTTTCTGGAACTATTTCAATAATTACAAAAAAGTATATCGATCCACTATCATTCTAGCTAAGAGAATATATTACGGCAACAGAATGGGGGAATCGAAGAATAAAATTAAAGAAACTTGGTCAATTATAAGGGATATAAGAGGTAAAACAAAAAAGAAAAACTCTGAACTCTCACTTAATCCTAATAGGTATAATAAATGAGTTCTACTGTTCTATTGCTGAACAGTTGAGAAACACAATTCATGCTCCATATGATCCATTGATCAACTTAGAAAATACAAAAATTCATGATAGTCTTATTTTATATGACATTGACCTTAATGAATTGTTCAAAACACTTCATGACATTAAAAATAAAAACACGGCCGGTATTGATGATATTTCCGTTAAGATTCTCTTGAATTTACCACTCAATGCTCTAGAAACTTTGGTCGCCCTTATTAATACCTCATTCAGAACTGGCTCATTTCCTTCTTCCCTGAAGACTTCCGTTGTCATTCCACTACATAAAGGTGGTGATTTAGATAATCCCTCCAATCTGCGTCCTATTTCCTTAATACCGACTTTAGCAAAAATTATTGAGAAATTAGTCAAAGTACGTTTAGATGAATTCTTACAACTGCACTGTATTATAAGTAAAAACCAGTTTGGGTTTCAAGAGGAAAAAGATACAAATGATGCTATCTTCTCTTTTTTATATGAAATTTACTCTGAATTGAATGCTGGTGAAGTAGCCGCCGCAATTTTTTGCGATATTTCAAAGGCGTTTGATTGCGTTAATCATAAAATTTTATTAAAAAAACTTCATAAATATGGATGTAAAAGTGTAACGAACACTTGGTTCGAATCGTACCTTTCAGGTCGGAGTCAAATGGTGAGGACAACGGAACTCTCGGAGAACAGGGCCATTGAATCTGGTGTACCACAGGATTCTGTGTTAGGCCCTATTTTGTTTCTGTTATATATGAATGACATATCTATGATTAACATATCTGGTAGTTTCACTCTATTCGCGGACGATACTACAATATTGTGGAAAGAAAAAAACTCAATGGAGCTAATTAAAATAATATCATCTGACTTGAAGAAAGTGAAGAGCTGGTGCGATGCAAATTTACTCTCTCTAAATGCATCCAAAACAAATATAATATCATTCAAATGTTCGCATGATGACATTTTAATAGACGCTGACGTATTGCAAAATAAATTAAACACAAAGTTTCTCGGTGTATTAATTGATAATAGGCTGAAAGTTGATGAGCATCTTAAACAACTGAAGAGTAAGATCTCCTCAGGATGTTATGCAGTTAGAGTGGTTTCAAATGAGTTGGGTTTCCATGTCGCAAAGACTGTTTACCATGCACTTGTTGAATCTCGACTACATTATGGAATACCTTTTTGGGGAGCATGCAACTCATCCCTCCTCTCTTCTGTGTTGATATTACAGAAGAGGGCACTAAGATGTCTCTGTAAAGTTAAACCCAGAGAATCGTGCAGGAATTTGTTCACTGCCAATAAAATGTTAACAGTCATCGCACTTTTTATCTTAGAGACAGTTTGCCTTATTTATAAACATGAATCGAAGTTCAACTTTGCTTCTACTCCTTATGCTACTCACAATAGCAATTATACCTTTAGACTTCCTATCCCAACTTCGAATTTAATCAAGGATTCCATATACTACAATGGTGGTAAATTGTTTAATCATTTACCATTAGAAATGAGATCTGCAAATTTAAGCAACGTTCATTTCAAAAAGGCGGTGAAGAACCTACTTGTGGATAGACCCTATTATAGTTTGGAAGAGTATTTTAGCGAATCCTTTTAATAATATATTACTAATATTTAAGAAAAGTGAGAGGTCACATCTTGAAGGTTTTCACCAAAATTGACCTAGGTATATCGAAACATAAACTATCTACAATCTCCAGAACTAACCAGTTCATTGTTTCCGATGATGATTCTGCAGATAGTAGGTACTACTAATGCTGAAGAATGGAACAGAAAGCCAAAGGCCAAATTTACCTTCTTCTCTGGTAGATATCTCAAATATTTACCATCTTATAAAATGATCTCATTGGATATTCTAGAAAATAACTTGGTGAACGACTGTCAATATTATAAAATATTCGAAAAATTTTCGTACTACATTGGATTTTATGAGTTTGTGAAAGGAGATAGATTTATATCATCGGAGGACTTCGATGTTTTCAAATACAATGACTTATCCCGGATACTTTCTCCAAAATAATAATTACTTTAGCTGCCATTATAATAACAAAAAATAAAAAACACTCAGATGTAGCTGTACAGCCCTGCGCCACTTCATTTTATGAATTGGAGAAAAATATATTAGGCAAAATTTTGCCTTTTAAGAAAACTTTCATTCCGTTTCACTTTCTTGATAAAAAATGGATTCTGCTGACAATTAATTTCAAAAATAAAACATTGGACATATTCAATCCATACGGAAACACAGATATTGAGAGCGAAGAATATCTGAATAATTTTCAGAACTATTTGAAAAAATATAACGAGAAAAAATCAGTATATGCTACTTTCAAAAAAATGATGAAACTGGATGGAAATTAAATAAACAAGATGTTATACCAGTTCAGTGTGCTTTCGCGGCCAGCATTCACATTTTATATCAGTTAGATATTATCACTTCTGAAACTTTCAGTACTGACTCACTTTCTGAACTATTACGAATGAAAGAATATTGTGAAAATCTCCAACTCATTTTGTTGAAATTTTCATCTGATGTTATGCATTTTTGTCCTTTGTGCGGCCAATTTGAAGGGCAACAAAATACACATTGGATTTGTTGCAACCTTTGCACAAGATGGATACACTTCAATTACGACAATAGAATATTTGAATTTACGTGCCCTTTAGATTCCCTAGACGTTGTATATTATTGTCCCATTTGTAGTGGAAATTTCGATGTGAAACCTTTCCATAAGTTACAAAAAAATGAAATTATGCCCAATGCTCTAAAATGTAAACCAGATCATTATATACCTTCTGATGACTTAGGAAACTATGTCATCGCTAAATATGACTGCACATTTAACTTAACAATTGAGGATTATTTGACCTTGAATAAATATTTGTATATATCTAATACTGTATTTTTCATAATCTCTGATCTGATTTACTCCGAAAAATCAGATCCAACTGTGAAAATTTGGAGTATATTCAAAACGGATTTGTTGTTATTCCAACTGAACACACTGGAAATCGATTTTTTCAAAGATGATTTGTTTAAAAATATCAATAGTAAAGTGAATCTTATCCCCATTTTGCATAATAAACACTTCACAATGATAATTGTTGATTATCTGAAGGGAACTTTTTCATTTATTGATCCTTNATGGATAAACGCCATTTCAACAACGTTGCCGATATTTTGAATAACTGAAAAACTGGATAGTTACAGTACAGTTCCAGCTATCTCTGATTTTATTATCTGAGTTCAAGATGAAATTATCATAAGATTTTTTTTTCTCTCTCATAATCAGATTCTCATACTCTTTGTTCAGAGTTAAGAAAATCTGTTTATGTGTATGATCTTTTGTCACATCATATCTCGTTTTAGCTGCGTGGACCAATTTGTTTATACAGCAATTCTATTTTTTCTCTAAGCTCTTGAATGATAATGTCTTTTTGTCTGAGAATATATGATCACACATATGAGATTTACCTTTTTGTCAGGTTCTACTGATTCTTGAATGGCATCATAAAACTCAGTATCGGAGTCCCCGTTCCATCCGTTGACTTTCTCACTGCACATAACTTCACTATTGTCATCTGTGAACTTCATATTCACGCAATGTTTTGCACAACTCATGTGGAACATATTTGAACAGTTTTTACATTTGATTCCATTTATAACTTTGGATTTACAGCGTTTACACAGGACAGCTGTGGAAGGTACACCCGAGCCGCCGACCATCTTAACTTGACCGAGAAGAGACTGCACCTTGTGGAACCCTGCTTCCAGTAATCGCATGGTTGAGAGTTCTTGTCCTACTCTGCAGCTGCATCGCCTGTCAGCTAGAAAAGACTCGATTAATCTTACCATTTGTTTAGTGTAGCCAAAGTTGCTCATGCCAAACTCTGTCGAACGTCTTGGAGACGTCTAAGAAAATCGCTCCGGTGTTGTATCCTCCGCCGAGGTTGAAGCTTTCGGTCGCAAAGTCTACTACCCTCAGGGCTTGCAACTCTGTCGAGTGTTCTGATCTCTAATCGAACTGTTCATCTAGTAGGATTCCTTGTTCGCTGGTTTGGTACTCATATCTTTTCAGGATGATACGTTCTGCCACTTTGCTTAAGAAAGGGATTAAGCTGATTTGCCTGCGGTTATCTGGGAATAAATGGTTTTCCTTTGGTTTCGAGATGTGGATAACCCTCGCCTCCTTGAACGGATACGGGAAGTGCTGTAGTCTGGGTATAGAATTTATGTTGTTTGTTATAGCTGGTATACCTTTACGTGGTAGGACTTTCGTTTCCACCTGTGTCTCTGTTTGTTCTACTTCGTCCGTGAACGGGACGTCGTTCTCTCTACACTGCCTTCCGCCCCCATGCCCCCTCCTGGGTTGAGTGCCGTGAAGTAAAAACTTCGCCTCACAATTTAATTTGCGAGGAAAACTTAATACTCCACTCCATCCACCCCCGCTCTCCGAGCGGTTCTCAACTTACTTATGGGCACTTCAGCAAGATTGCCATCTGACCTCTTTTGATCGAAAGTCAGCCTTTAGGTGCTATTCTTTCTGAACGGTTAATTGTTTTATCCTGACTATTCCTAACTGAATTTTTGCATGGGGCCGCCCAAAAACTAACCGGCGGCTATTGTTGCTAGCGTCGAGCATTCCTCAGTGAATCTAAGAAAAAGTGAATCGCAGTCGCGGTCGAATTGTTCTGCGTTGAACCTACCTGAAAGAGAGTTTATCTGATTAGTTTATGCTTACCTGAGTCGCCTGATGGCGACTCGCGGGGGTGGTCGTTGATTCTGACTGCCTTTCGAAATTGTCCGCAAATGCTTCCGCTTTCTCTTGGTTCGTGTAGACGATTCCTCGCTCGCCGTGTATTGGCGGGCATGGCTTTCGACGTCCCTTCCTAAGAGTTTTCTGCATTCTCCATGCAGATTGCTCTTCGGTGTTTAGTTCTTCTAGACGGGTTGTCCATTGTTGATCTCGGATTGCTTTTATTTCTTCTCGCAGTGTTCTGCCGGCTCTTTGCATACAACTTTTGTCCATTGGTGCACGTGTCCGTTNAAATCCAGCTCAAACATCACCATCAGGTTAGCCATGAAAAAATCTTAAATTTTTACTCCTTGCCTGTTTTGAATTAGCTTACTGTTTTCCAGAAAAGCGACGCTAAATGAAAGGAGAATATTAAAGCAACAAACTAAACTAAGTGGCCTCATAACTTTTTATTTATGATGACCGGTTTAGGCTTATTAAACCATTATCGAGTACCTACTGTAACTTGGTATGGCAAATGAGTTCTCACATATATAATAATACATCCATTATGCTCTCTAGGTAGGTTAATGAAGACCTTACCTAGAGAGCAAAATGACTGTATTAATGTATACATATACAACAACTTTATCATACTACTTTACATAAATAACGATGAGATTGAAATCTTTGGTGTGAAAGTTGAATGACTTTTTTCGAGATCAATTGCCCTAACACCAAACTGATAACAAAACAACAAAGTTAGCATCCTCCTGAGGATGCTAACTTTGTTGGCGAAACGCGCGTCGAGTGCAAAAATATCAGTTTAGTGTTAGGGCAATTGATCTCGAAAAAAGTTATTCATACTACTTTACAGTTTACTAGTGGAAATTAGACAAGAGTTTTTTTTTATCCTATATTCAATAAATAGATCATCAATCGCGCAACATGCAATGCCTGTAGGTTGTAGGAAGTTAATATTAGGACACAGGTTTATGGGAAAAAAGTCTTATTTTGATCCTAGGAATAAGCCCTTGAAATATTAGTAGCCAAAGTTGCTCATTTTGGCCAGAAGTCCGTCATGCCAAACTCTGTCGAACGTCTTGGAGACGTCTAAGAAAATCGCTCCGGTGTTGTATCTTCTGCCGAGGTTGAAGGTTTCCGTCGCAAAGTCTACTACCCTCAGCACTGCCTTTCGCCCCCCCATGCCCCCCCCCCGGGTTGAGTGCCCTGAAGTAAAAACTTCGCCTCACAATTAATTTGCGAGGAAAACTTAATACTCCACTGCATCCACCCCCGCTCTCCGAGCGGTCCTCAACTTACTGATGGGCACTTCAGCAAGTCAGCCTTTAGGTGCTATTCTTTCTGACCGGTTAATTGTTTTATCGTGACTATTTCTAACTGAATTTTTGCATGGTGGCCCCTAAAAGCTAACCGGTGGCTATTGTGGCTAGCGTCGAACATTCCTCAGTGAATCTAAGTGAATCGCGGTCGCGGTCGAATTGTTCTGCGTTGAATCTACCTGAAAGAGAGTTTATCTGATAAGTTTATGCTTAACTGAGTCGCCTGATGGCGACTCGCGGGGGTGGTCGTTGATTCTGACTGCCTTTCGAAATTGTCCGCAAATGCTTCCACTTTCTCTTGGTTCGTGTAGACGATTCATCGCTCGCCGTGTATTAGCTTTCGAGGTCCCTTCCTAAGAGTTTTCTGCATTCTCCATGCAGATTGGTCTTCGGTGTTTAGTTCTTCTAGACGGGTTGTCCATTGTTGATCTCGGATTGCTTTTATTTCTTCTCGCAGTGTTCTGCCGGCTCTTTGCATACAACTTTTGTCCATTGGTGCACGTGTCCGTTGATATCGTCTTTTCAGGCGTTTTCTAATTCTAGTGAGCTCCACTGTTTCTGGTGGAAGATGCTCTTGTAAGTTGAAGCGCTGAGTTGGGAGTTCCCGTGCGTTTCTTTCCATTGTTTGGGTGATCGCCTGTTGCAGCTGGTGTGTGGCGTTCTCCAGATCAGGCAGTGCAAGTAAAAAATATGCTTGTTGTAATTTATGAGGATATTATGGAATTCAACAAATACCCGGCATTTGGGTATTATTAATAGGCACTAATTTCATAAAATCACTAAGAGATAAACTTCAATACAATTTAGCCATTTTGGAAAAATATTTAGATTTATTTTCGAGGGCTCTTACATTATGCTCTTTAGCACAGCAGATACTCAATCTCGAGATTAAATATGCCCTCAGTGCCTCTCTTGACAATTCTTCCTTGTGTTCACAACCCACAATATTTTTGGGAGAAAAATTGACAATTTGCTTAAAATTACTGAAAGGCAATTTCTTGTAAGTTCCCTCTCAAAAACATTTGATATTGTGGCTTCAACATCGTGAAGAAAGCTGATAATTTTTTGTGATGGAAATGTTAAAAATCCCCTGCTCTTGTTTCTTATGAGGGAATTGAACATCTCATTTCCCTTCCCCAATATCGAATCCACACATTCTCCACATTCGGTNGAACATTTCATTTCCCTTCCCCAATATCGAATCCACACATTCTCCACATTTGGTGGTGCTTTTAATTTTTTTTGCGACATATCCACAGAAATAAGCAAAAGCTTCATCAATATCTGAGAAATCCTCTTCAAATTCGGAGATAATTTCTTCTATTTCAATATCGAATATGAATTTTTTTTTTCTTTCAGATCTCCAATATGAAGAAGGGATTTCATCATTTCTCCTCCACTAACATTACTTCCCCTGGGCGGTTTTATCAGAGAATAGAGGGGCATGAGGCGGAATATTTGTCCAACTTGAATTGACTCTGTATGAGTCAAAGTTGATTGGAATTGTTATGGATATGTGAACATTATCACCTACAAATGATCTTGGTTTAATCTGGATGTCATCAAGTATTTGAAACCAAAATTGGATAAATACTTTGTTAAGTCTATTGTACATGACATAGTTGCGCAAAACCCTTCATAAATAGAATCTGATAAAAAGAACTCTGTAGGGGAACATTGTTTCCATATATGAGCTCCANAGACCAACTTTTAAATCTCAAAAAATTCTTACCGTAACAGGTATATATTTATTCAAATTATTGATAGACACACATAGGAATATCATCAACCTACAAAAAAATTCAGATCTTCATCAATACTCTACGAGAAAACAGGAGAATATACATCTCAGAAGCTTCAAGCACCTCTCGTATAAAAAATCACCAGAGTGGGCAGGAAGTTACTTTTATAACCTGCTGCCGAAGGAAATAAAAAATACCACCGTTAACAGATTCAAAAAGCTTGTAAAAACTCTACTGGCTGACAATCCGCTTTATAATATTCAAGAATTCGTAGATCTTCTAAATGTTAATAAATAGTAATTTTGCATTCAAATCTGGGTGAGAATACTTGTTTATTGTACTGTTTCTTTAACATTTTTATATCATTAATTCTACCTTTTTTTTTATATATTTTTTTCAATATAATGTTAGATTTTAATGATTGTATCCGGATGTATCCGATGATTGTAACTAACGAACCTACACTTATGTGGCTAATGAGGTAATAAAGTTATCTATCTATCTATCTATCTATCTATTTTGATTTGATTTGATTTGAAAAAGTGTCTCTCCCACATTCAACCGCTGCTGGCGAAACTTCAAAAACAAAAATAAATATCGTGAAAGGTCAGAAATACATTATAAAAACACGTGGTTCAAATACAAGTTCCAAATTCCATTAACGAATTATACAATTTAGTATTGATCACTAGATAGTGCTGGTCTAATTTTTTTCGACACTCCGCCCAATGATTTGAAATATTGTTGTACTTGCACAATATTTAAGACAAAACATGTTCGTATTCTGTTCAGTATTTATTTTAAAATGTTACTCATAGGTTATTTTACAGTGCTTTTACATACTTATAGTGTTTTTAAATAGCTTTATATATTTCACATCGACGTTTACATACCTTAAAAATGTGGATGTATCTGTTTATTTGTATATGACTCTGATTATTCCTATACAATTCATATTGTCAAAAACTAAAATAAAGTATATTATTATTATATCATGGCGTACTTATTTCTTACACATTGCTTTTCATTTCCATACCGTCAACTTGAAACTCATATTTGTGATAAACACATCTTCAGAAAATATTAAAATTCCTTTTTTTTTCGAAATTAAAGGGTGATGATAAATAATACTTAACTAATTATCGAATAAACAATTTAGAAATGTAGAAAAACTAAAACATGAGAAATAATGAACAGTTTGATGAAAAGGAATCGTAGTAAAGATCTGAAGATTATTAGAATTTTTTTTCAAGTTTATAGATTACAAATGTTTCTTAAAATAACTACGAATAATATTACTCTGTATATTAAGTTTTATTGGTGTTTATAAATTAAAAAAAAATACTATAATTGTGTGATACTTGACCAGTATAAATTAGATTAGTCTCATAACTTCAAATGAAATTTATTGAAAATGAAAGTATGCTACATCCCAATTTCTTTGAATGAAGATCTTCACTTATCTTGAAAGTGTACTTGGGGATGGTAATGGTAGAATTTTATTTTCCTTCATGTGCATTTTGTGCTTTTAATTTTCATCAATATACAGGAATATATCCAGTCAAGAGTATACCGTTTTCCTGTATTTTTACATTGACTCGCCTTACAAGATTTTATCATTTGTTGCTGTGATACAGGCAGATATTTGATGAAATTATCAATTTTTTCGAGTCTATCAGCTCTTTTTTAATATTCACCACAATAAATTCCGGTTGTTCCTTTCTCTTTCTCATGCACAGTTCTTGTTTGATTTTAATTTTTTTTTTGTATTGTGAACTTTTTATTCGCCTCTTTCACTTTCTTATTGTATCTGAATTTAGAACAATAAATACATTTGTTTTTATTGATGGGAATCAAAACTTCACAAGATATACTCTGACTGTTGCAGAATTTTTCCTCATTTAGTCTTCTCAAGTAATCCTCTAGATTCTTGATTGTCTACGGTGGTTACAGATTCCATAATATCAACAACTCTATGCATTGCTCGAGCTTGTATGGTATCAGCAGTAAGAACTACTGATCTCTCTAAGTAAGGCATATTGTTCTCTCCAAGTGCCACTTTAGAAAATACAATTTGATTCTCTAACTTACGAAAACTCCAGTAAAGAGGAAGATCAATGAAAATTTTATCATTCTTGTTTGAAGAAAAAAGGTTTGTATTGGTTTCGATAGGGTTAGGAATATTCTCTAGTTGAATACTGCTAGAATTTACCAATGGATGTTTTGGTGCAGAGTCTGGTGAATCGGGTGGAATACTACGTATTTTTATTGATAAAATTATTACAATGTGTTAAAACAACGATAAAAATAAAATAAATACAACAATAAAAATTAATTGGCGCTCCGGGGCGACTTATATATATTATAAAAATGACTATCACATCAATTTCACAATAGAACTTGTCTAAAATCTAAATTTTTCATGATGGTCTTCTACCACGTATATCCATCAATTTACTTGTCTAAAACATGTTTTACCCTTTAGATCAATACATGTTATTTAATTAAATTAATCAAACTATATAAATAATCACACAATCCTTATCAGATATTTGGTAGAAGCTTTATCAAATATTCTTTGAAAAAACTGATCACAGAACTGAACATAGGGAGTCAGTCAAGTATTTTGGTTGTTCATGTTTCAAAGGGAGTTTTTTCCACTGGATAATCCAACTGCAAACTGAAAAATAAAACTAGATATAAAAAATGAAAATCAATCTTTGAATCTAGGAAAATTTCAGCATCCTTCATCGACAATTTTCAATAGCTCATGTAGTATGATTTCATTCATTGTCTTCTTTGGTAAATTCCAAAGTTTAGACTGCAACTACGACAGTCACCTTCAGCGGTGTTGACGAAGTTCTCTCCACGACATATTCATTGAAACTAATTTCAGTATCAACTTTATTCTGTAGGATTTGAGATTACTTCCATCAACACAACTGAATATATATGACTGTCTCAGTTGCAGTCGAATATTTTTACCAAAAATGACCAGGGCAAAGCCAGGAAACTATTACAAAATTAGGCATGATGAGTTCATACATTCAATTCGATTTTAGAAATATTTCATGCAGATTTCAGAATTGAAGTTACACTAAATCATAAGTTTATCTATTCAAAATTATACATGGTTTCATTGATTGTCCAGAAATTCTCTCCCCTATAACTTTCAACGCTCCACGGAGATCCATTAGACAAATAAAGCTATTTATTACACCATATCACTTAACTAACTATGGATATCATT